AAACCAAATATAATCCTGAAAGCAATTGGCAGAATTTAAGTGCTTTAAACAGGAGACTAGCATGATCATTTTTAAAATTATTTTTTATTTTTTAGTTGTAGGATTATCACTTTTACTGCAGTGTGGAAAATGAAAAAAAATGCAGATAGCAAGGTTAGGAGAAATAATAAGTGTAGAAAGATCTGAGGAAGATCCTTATGACTGCAAAGATAGTATATAATTTCAACAAGGTACTTCTTGATATATAGGTTATTTATTTGTAAATTAAAAACAAATGTCATATATTTATGTTCTGAGATTTCAATTATATTATAACTATGACCATACTACTTGACCATCTATATAAGCTAGTATACCAAAATGTTAATTCCTTGGGAGTAGAGAGAGTTCATCCTCCTGTGTTCACACATGTGTTTCATCTAAGTGTATCATAAGTCCTGAATAAAGGCTTCCTCACTAAATGATAAATATCTGTGTATAAAATATTTATCAATCTATAAGTGGTACTATTTAGAGTAAGCCCAATTCCCATGGACGTCCAAAATTTATAAAATATTTATATTATTTTATGCTTAAGTGGCTTTTTATAAGAAAGTATTATCTGGATTGTACACCTATGTGTAAAATTAACAGAGAAAGTGAGGAAGACGTTAAACTTGTAAGGAATTGTGCTCAGATGATTAAATGTATGATGTGCACAAATCTAAAATAGATAGATATATAAGTGGAAAAAAGTCATAGATATATGCAACCCCCAAATATGACAATGCACTGACAGGAAATAATTATTTAATGCTAATATTTAGCAATCAATCCATCTTTATGTGACTTCTTATTTTTCCTATGCTTACATAGTTAATGACTTTATAGTCTTCCCCTAAGTTTCTTTGCAATATTCAATCTTTAAAGCTTGAATAAAACTTAACTTTGGGACGGGCGCGGTGGCTCACGCCTATAATCCCAGCACTTTGGGAGGCCGAGGCAGGTGGATCACGAGGTCAAGAGATCGAGACCATCCTGGTAAACAAGGTGAAACCCTGTCTCTACTAAAAATACAAAAATTAGCTGGGCATGGTGGTGCGTGCCTGTAGTCCCAGCTACTTGGGACACTGAGGCAGGAGAACTGCTTGAACCCAGAAGGCGGAGGTTGTGGTGACCCGAGATGGTGCCATTGAACTCCAGTCTGGGTAACAACAGCAAAACTCTTTCTAAAAAAAAAAAAAAAAATTGAAAAATAAGGAATTTTTAATTTGCACCCCTGGGTATGTCATTTATTATGGTCTATCTTTCGTATAAGTAACTTCTTCAGGAGCTTATTGATTAAATAGATTTTAACTACAGGTCTGTTGCACCTGCCAAGGAACCTAATGAATTACATTGACAGTTTAATTCAATCATTTTTGCAGATGGGCCTGCTTTAATGTTCAGTAAACATGACTTTTTCTTTCAAGAAATTTTCCATATGTATCATGATAAATTAATTCCTATATTCAGAAGTTAATCTTAAGTTAAAACTTTATGACCCCTCTCAGAAACAGTGAATTAAATGTATTTGTGTGCTAATGGTATAAAAGGATATTTGATTTAATACAAGTAAAATATTCTTTCAAATACTAAACAAATTACATATATATTTAATAGAAGAAAAATTTCTTGAATATTTATTCTCTGTATGTTTTCTATCTAATAAAAATAAGCCAACACAGTGGTTAAAAGTACATTCAGACTGTCTTCACATCGTAGCATCTGAAGGACCCAGGGCAACTCACAGTCCCTCTATGCATCAATTTGCTCGACTTTAAGAAGGTAGTAAAATTTTTTATTTCATAAAGTTTTTAGAAATGTTAAGTTAATGTAATAAGGATTTTACAATATTTTTCATATGGAAACAATCATTTACTTTAATGTCATGTACTGAAAATTAAGCAAGCATCCTGTGGCAGACAAATGTGCATGCTAATTGTCATCAATATTACTCAGTAAAGCTGTGTATTTTCACTTCGTCGCTTTGAAAGTAAAGAAGATCATAAACTTGATACTGTTATTTTAATTCCCACAGTGTGAAATGATGAATTTAAACTCCAGCTGGGGTATAGCTATTATATTGTTTGGCATAAGGTAATTTATGATGAAGATTTTAATGGGAAAACAGTAGATAATAAGCATGTTTCTTATCCAATTTAAGTAAACTTATCTCCTTTACTTTGTACTAATGTACAATCTTCTTATTGACCATCAAGGTGAAATTAATAATAATGCACCTTAAATAGTTTATTGAAATAGAATTCACTAGTATCAGTCCTAAATTTCACATATTATTTTAAAGTAACAGTATTTCAAAATATTCTTGAATATTAAAAAATACATTGTTGTTCTGAAAATATTCTTCAAAGCTTTTGACTAAAGATATAAAAGAAATCCTTTCATACCTGCTTTCACTAAACAGAAATTCAGAGTCAAGGTGTTTTTACGGTTGGTTAATATCATCGCACAACGATGATATCAAGGACCCAGATTCTTTCTCTCCTTTTATTTTGTCATCATGAGAATGCCATATACAATAATTACCTGGGGCAGAAGTAAATGAATTTTCCTGTGTTTCACCTTAGGAATAAGAAAATTTACATGAAATACCACCAGACTGCCCTGTAAATAAGTCTCATTCAACAGAAATGGATCACATGCTAACCGCTAAACCAATCACGGGTTAAAAAAACTCTTTTTGGCTTAGAACCAACTAGACTTTGCATTTGAACAGAGGATGGAGCCATCTTCCTTAAAACACTTAGTGAAAGTGTTTTACTTTGAATGAATTAACAAAAAGGAGATGGTGCTACTCAAATACTCCCTGCTTAAACCAGGAGCATCTTAGTCTTCAAAAAAGCATGAAGTACATTTGTACACAATCACATACATATTTGACTATTTACAAATTAATAATGCTAGACTATGTTAAAGCCATTTGTAATAAAATCGATCAATTTAGCATTGTGACGAGAGTAGTTCATTTTCAGATGATTTAATAATGTCTTCAATTTATCTCTGGACCTCTTTTTTAATTTGACAAAAATATTGAGAACTTATTATATGCCATGCCTGAGTAAGGTCTCAAATATACCCTCCTAACAAGTTTAGAGTGCTAAAACAAACATTAAACAAATAAAGATATAATAAGACAAATGAGATAAAAGAAATTGAAAGATGCGGTGAAAGAAAATAGTGGTAGTTGACAGCTATGTTAAATTGTATGACCTTAGGGGTGTGTCTCACTGAGGAAATGACATTTAATATGAGTCCTCATTTAAAGAATTGGAAGCAGCATCCCTGCAAGAGAGCAATCTCTGCAAAATATCTTACGGAGAAATAAACTTCTATGTGTACACAGCAAATAATTTTAAAAAAGAAAACTTCAAGTAATTATTAGAAATCATATAATTTAGTAAAGATTTGATTAAGCCTCCTTTAATTTTGAATTTACTTCACTACATCTTTGGTACAAAATATTCTGTTTTTGCCCTTTAATTATTTTCCTTTTAGCTAGGAAAGCATCAAACTTCAGGAAAATGCAATTAGAAAATAGAAAACAATGGCTCCAATCTTGCAATTTCAGCAAAATTATGCATTTAATTAATAGTATTTGAAAAATATTTCCATATTCAGATTAATATAGCATAACTGAATCTTTAGAGAGTTACCAAATAAATGGGACGTACAGTGGCACTACTTTCCCTAATGATTGTTCTTTGAAAGACATTCATAGTGATTCTCGCCTTTAGTCAAAACCACATATATTCACCTCAGCGCTTACACTGTTTTATCATTTCACAAAGGAAAATAATGATATAGAAGGTTGACGAGTTTGCACAATTTAGCATTTTACATTCATGACAGAGCAAGGATCATACAGGACTCTTGATTATTTTAATCAAGAGAAGATGTCCTTAATGTCTATGATTCTTTGTGCTTGTTGGAGAAACAAATATTTTTCTTGTTATTATTTATCATTGTCTGGCTAGAGTCTCATTATATTAGAATTTTCCTAATTCTGTTCCTTGCATTTCTGTGAGTCTGTGAAAAGTCTGTAATTGCTATAATACTTGGTTTTTAAGCTTTAGAAGAACAGAAATAAATATTTGTTTTGTTTATGGCATATCCTGAGCGCCTAGAACACAGTCCAATACAAAGCAGGAATCCATTAAATATTTAATAAATGAAACTCGTTAATAAAACTAACAATATTTATGACTATAAATGATATAATGAATTTAAATGCCTGTAATCAAATGTAAGATTTGGGTTCTACCCTTTAGAATTAAAATAACAAGTATTATTATACAACTCTTAAGTTTTTCTCACATAAGAAAAGACAAGAATTTTATTCTTTAACTGTTTTAGCATGTATTTATTCCTAAGCAGTTTCAGAAAGAAAAGACTGGTTATGCAGATGTTTTTCAAATCAAATTGATGTGTTACCTACACTAACGAACTTAGTAAGTTGGCTCATGTGGTTGGATCATATAATTTGCAATTTCCATGGAAAATATTTACATTTTGTGAAATTTGAAAGGCAATCATGATTACATGTAGTCATGAATGATTTCATTGGCTATTGTAATTTAGATTAAGAGATCATACAAGGTTTCAGTTACGCAAGAATAAGTTTTTGAGATCTATTGCACAGGATGGCAACTGTAGTTGATAATAAAGCACCATATTTTGAAAATTGCAACAAGGGCAAATTCAAATACCACAAAAAATAGTAATTTTTTGAGGTTATAGATATTAGATAAATTTAATCATTACACAATGTATATGTATATAAAAGTATCATGTACATATAATTATAATTCATCAATTAAATATAAAAAGAAAGAGAAAATATATGATACTATATTGGTTGATTGGGGTAAACACAGAAAATTAAAATGATTATATAAGGAACAGTTAATGGAACTATGGATAGTGAGGTATTAGTTTGGCCAGATAACACAGATACTCACTTTCACTTTCAATAGTGTATTATGAATGGATATTGACAGCACCAGGTTTAACTGTGTTCTTCAACATGTACCACTGATTTTCAGAGATGGAAGTTTCATTCATCTACAGCTGTCTTCTTTGTTGACCCTAGTGTACAATATTGCATAGCCTTAAATCCACTGAAAAACTCACGACTTCTTTCTATTTTCTTCCTAGTTATTTACTGAAAATGTTAACATCACGCTGAATATGGAAAAATGTATAAACTAGAAGGTGGATGGGCCCAAGAGCAAACCATGGAGAGCAAAGCTAAGGCGTAAGTGTGCAGATGTGATAGCTGAAAAGTACATCATGTTTGTATGCTAAATTCTGAGCCTGGGGTTACCAGCATCTAAACATTATTATGATTCAAAACCCAAATAGTGTGCTATTACTGGGGAGAACAAATAATATAATTTTTACTGAATAGAGATGCATTTAAGAATTATGCCATAATATAAACTTTTTATTAGGAGTCAGGATAGTGGGTACCTCTGCTGGGTGGGGAGAAAATCAAGACTGGATAAGGCTACTAGAGGGCTTCAGAAAGGCTAGCATTCTTTTTATATCTAGAAGCTGGTTAAACAGGTATGTTCAGTTTGTGAATAGTCACTGAGTTTTACTTTTATTACAGGTGTGCTTTTCTGAACTAATTCAACATTAATAAAATATTTACTTAAGATTATTATATATATTTTTGACATTGTTACAGTAAGAAATGATATGTTTTATACTAAAAGAGAAAGGAATGTATTCTGTTTATATTCATTACAATTTTAACTTATTTGTCTATAAAAATCAGTAGTGTCCCTATTTGTCAATAATGTTCAAGCTGAGAGTCAAATCGAGAATGGAATCCCATTTGCAATAGACACACACACACACCCTAGGAATATATTAAACCAAAAATGTAAAAACGCTCTACAAGGAGTACTACAAAGCTCAGCTGAAAAAATCACAGATGAGAAAAACAAATGGAAACACATTCCATGCTCATGGATTGGAAGAATCAATATTACTAAAATGACGGTAATGCCCAAAGCAATCTACAGATCCAATGCTATACCAATCAAACTATGAATGTTGTTTTCCACAGAATTACAAAAAAGAAAACGATTCTAAAATTCACATGGGAACAAAAAAGATCCCCAAGAACCAAAACAATCCTAAGGAGAAAGAACAAACTCAGAAACATCACCTTACCTGACGTTAAACTGTACTGTAAGCCTGACAGCATGGTACTGATATAGAAGCATACAGACAGACCAATGAAACATAATAGAGAACCAAGAAAAAAGCTGCATACATGCAGTCATCTGATGTTTGACAGTCTACAAAAACAAGCAATGCAGACAGGACTTCCTATTCAATAAAAGGAGTGGGAAAGCTGGCTAGCCATATGCAGAATAAAACTGCACCTTTACTTTTCACCCTATAAAATATTAACTTAAGATGAATTAAAGACTTAAAAGTAGGACCTCAGTGTGAGGATGCTAGAAGAAAACCTAAGAAATACCATTCTCAACATCGGCCTTGGGAAAGGATTTATGACTAAGTCCTCAAAAGCAATTGCTGACACGGCCGGCTTCCGTCCTGATCCATCTTATTATGATACACTGTTTTGGGATCTACCATGGGTTACCTCTTGGCATAAACTATCAATTGTGGTCAAAAAGGACCATCAGAAACAGCAAAGGCACACCCATGTTGAGGAAATTCCTAACACTCAGTTTACTCAATGACAGACTGTAACCTATTTCTTTACTACACACTTACTCATTTCTTATCCCCAGTACCTAGCCTAGTGTTTGGCACATATTATCTTAACAGTAAATCTTTCAGAAATAAGATACAAATCTTTTAACATAAGATTATTCAGTTTAAGGAAAACAAGTAGAAACAATTCTGAGTGAGCATAATTTAGGGAATTTAAGCATTAATTTGAAAAAGAGAAACCTTGAGATACCTCATTTTACATATGCCCTCTCATATCTATGTACATATTTTGCTGTAGTTTAAAACTAGAAAATATATTTTCTTGATGCTTACCAGGCTGTAACTCGATGAGAGCAATATTAAATTGCTTTAAATAGTTTATACTAAATGTTTACATATATAAGAAGGATGCTGACTTAAATGGATTAACTGCAAATTCAATAAACTGGTCCAATGGATAAAATAATACTTTAACTGCTTCTTTTCTCTTACTTCATAAATTACTGGGCAGAGTTGATGCAATCTAATCTTTCAAAATAATCTTCCTCTTTTCTAGGGACATACTAATCAGAAAAAGAGATGCAGTACGATTTGTATTTTCTCATAATATTCACAAATTCCTACCATAACACCAAACATAATCAGGAGTGTGTGTGTGTGTGTGTGTGTATAAAAAAATTTGAAATTCTGTGAAATATGTATACCCAATTTAGCACTAGTGTTTGATAATTTATCCAACATTCCCTTTCCTTTTATGTGATGAGAACTTCTATCTATAGACTTCTTAAGTCATGATAGCTTGCCTAATCATTTATACCCAGAAAAAAACATGCCAACGTTTCTACCACAGTAACTTGAAATAAGGTAATAACTTATGCATGATTATAACTTACATAGTTATATACATATATACAAGTACGTTATACACAAATATACACATTAACATGAAAAACATCATCACACTGTGTACATAATAGCGTTTTCTATTTCCATATTTTAAATTCCATTTTCTGAAAGTGAAGAAGTTGACTTCCACTATTTTATCATAGATATAGTTACCTCTTCTTTACAGTCAATCCCATATAAGCAATCTTCTACCTCTGTGGCTACCTCCTTGCTTCCCCCCACTTCTGGCATACCTGCTTTGGTTCCAAACCTCCTGCCAGGGTATCTCCAAACACGGTCTCCCAGCTGACTCTGCATTAACCAGCCCGCCTATGAATACGCTTGCTTCTTCGTGCTCCAGTTCTAACGCCAGCTAGGGTCTGCTCACCATGGTTCCTCTTCCACTCTCCCCACGTGGGTACTGCCTTCCTCGGCTTCTCATAGTGGCTTTAACCTGAAGTAGATTTTAAAAGCTATCATGCAGAGATGAGCATAGCACAACAAATCTGTGAGGATCAGGACTTTCTTCATTTTCATAAAAGGAAATACAAAATCAAAAACACCATTATAGGACTGGTGAAAGCAGTCTGAAACATAAAATACTCAAGATATGAAAAGAATATGGGTTGCAAAATATTTTTAAAAGATAGCTGAATACAATACTGTTATACACCTGTATTATGTTACCCCCAATCATTTTTGAAGAACTCTGAGATATAAGCCAATGTGTACAATAACTGCAACAGATAAAATAATACTGAAGAGAAATAAAGAAAATTCTGATTGAGAGCAAGAGAATGTGATAAATCTAGAAATCTAATACTCAAAAATCTAACCGTTTAAATTCACAAAATGTAATCGATAGTGTGTTAGAAAAAAAATCTTTTTTTGAGAAAACATTCTCGCTTATGTCAATACCTATGATAAAGTTTAAAATTCCAGTCCCTTATTTCTCCACCCCAAACCACCATTCTCCATTTACCCAGTGATATGAGTGTAACTCAGGCCTAGCCGGTCATAACATCCAACTCCCTGGCAATAATGAATGCCACGAGTCATGCAAACGCCTCCCCATCAGAGACAATTAAAGGGCTGCTGTGGAATTTTTATTTGCAAGTCCATAGAAAAATAATTTTTACTGTATTTAGAGAGAAAATAACGTTGTTTATGGCTCTCTTAACTGTCACAAAACTTTTTCTGAGAGAAATGTACAAATTCAGAAGGCATGGTAAGAGAGAAAAGATGGAAGATAAGAGTGTGAAACCAAAAGATACTTCACATAGTTAGTCTTGGGTCCAGCTCCTAATCCCTTGCTCTTCAGATCTGTTGAGCTGCCTCTGAGCCTGTTACATACATCACTGCATGCTGCCTTTTCTCTAGCCTACACCTCTTCCCCATGTCTCCCCAGCATGTTTTTTTTCTTGCTATCAGAGCTTTACGCTAGCAATAGGAGCTGAAAATGCAAGATACTGTCTCAGCCTTAATTATATTAGAGCTTAGATACAATCCTGGCATAGAGCCTTTGAGAAGTGTGCTGATAAAATGTATGAAGATAATTTTCTCTTTGCTTCAGGTTTCTGCAATGCTTAAGAATGAGTGGATGCTGGTGACAGACATTAAGTAATAAAAAGAAATATGGAGACATTGACTCTGAACTTTAATACTGTGGAATTCTTGAATACTTCCTAGACCTGTCAGTCTGAAAATAATACTACTTAATATAAGATAATGAAACCTCCATTTTTAAGCACTTCTAAATTTATGTCTGTTAGTCCACTTTGCATTGCTATCAAGGAATACTCGAGGCTGGGTAATATATAAAGAAAAGTGGTTTTACAGGCTGTACCAGAAGCATAGTGTGAGGATCTGCTTTGGCAGAGGGCCTCAGGAAGCTCACAATTATGACAGAAAGCAAAAGGCCAGCCAGCGTATAGTGAGAGAGGCAGCAAGAAAAAGAGGAAGGAGGTGCTAGGCCTTTTAAACGAAGAGATCTTATGCTGCCTCATAGACTGAGAACTCTCTCATTAATGTGATGACAGCACCAAGCCATTGATGAGGGATGTGCACCCATGAGGCAAACACCTCCCATGAGGCCCATCTCCAACACTGGAGGCCACATTTCAAAACGAGATTTGGAGAGGACAAAACATCCAAACTGTATCAATGTCCTGTACCAATACATACAGCCGATTGAATACCAAATCGTATACCTATTTATTAATTTTAGACTAAAAGCATAATCCTACAAAGCACTTAACTCTAAAATTCATAGAAACGAAAAGCAGATTGTCTACAAAGTAGGTATCATCAGGTGGCCAGGAAAGTACAGAGTTGGGGGTGTACTGCCTGGCCAGAATGTAAGAAAGTAAACAAGAAAAATTAAACAAAAGAAGAGGGGGAAGGAGGATACGGATTAATCATAAGGATGTGGGTACAGGGCCCACTTCATAATTGTGTATCTCTGTAAATTATGGGTGCCCATGTTCAAAATGAGGGCTGCTTATTTTAAAAACAAGAAAAAGTCCTGTTAAAGGTATTAAAATTTATATTATTTTCTTCCGGTGGTTCCCTCTCAAATTGCTGTCAGGGCTTTTATTTATTTTTCTAAGAAAGGAAAAATTTAAATTATAAATTATTTGCATGCATGCTACCATTTATAACATGCGATGTCAGTTTTAAATGCAAATATTAGAGCATCTAAACTTGCAGAATCACAAAAATTGCACAATTTATATTTTTAGCTTGTCCCTGACAGTGGCTCTAGCAGGCCTGAAGGAAAAAAAAAAAAAAAAAAAAAACTGTAACCCAGATTCAGGAAGACTTGAACAAGAAAGAAAGGGCCCTTCCAGACCAGGAGCCAGCCCAAGGGTATGCAGTTTAAGACAGCAGCAGGGATACTCATGGGGCAAGTATCAACTCGTAAATGCTCCTGAGAACGCCACCCTTGATGAACAGCAAGCACCAGGCCTGACAGCTAAAGGGTTCTGCCTCCTGCCAGCCTCTGGATAGATCTGATGTAATCTAGCTGGAGATGGAGTCTGGGAAAGCGAAACCTGTTATCTCTCTTTGCCACAGGCACACTATTCCAACCCATAGTAGAGGGACATCCCAAGGGTCTTCTAACCTTTGCTCCAAGACATGGTAGATACCTGGATTGATGATGGTGAGACAGAAGTTGCAGGTTCTCTTTTGCAAGAACACAATCTTTAGCTGGATGAGTACCTGACAAGGCTGGATGCTGCCTACTCAGATGAGGCGTCCACCACTGAAACACTTCAGTGCACATGTGTACAACCTCCACTTTACCCATTTCATGACTATGTAGGCCCCTGCTGGAAAGAGAGTGACGGGGAGAGGAAATGACATGAGTTGAGGTTCCAAGCTCTCAGAACATGCCCCATTCTTCTATCAGGGTTCAAATACAAAACACGAGTTTAAAGATCAAATAATTTCAAGATGATAGGAACAGAGCATTAAACCAAGCATAGAGTCCTTCAGAGTGTGGAGTCAGATTGACTACAGAGGTCTCATGCCCATAAAGCCACATAGCAAAGAGCTGTGGCAGCCTCTAGTTGCTGAAAATGACCTTCATACAACAGTTCAAGTAAAATGGGAACCTCATTTCTCCAACTGCATATAAATGAATTATTTCAACAAGAACTTGGAAGAAGATTCTGAGTTTCATTTTACCCACAAGCACACCTTGGTTTCAGCCGCATCATGAGTTTCTGAGCAGAGAATCCAGCCATTCCATGCTTGAAGTTCCAACCTATAGAAAATGCGGGATAATAAATGTTTGCAGTTTTAATGTTTTATCTAATTGTTGCAAAGCAACAGAAAACTAATAAGCACCCTGTCCCCTCTGCTCAACTTAAAAAAACTACAAATCCTACACATACTTAGGAATATAGTCTACTTTTACAATTGCAATAATTATTGGAACTTTTTCTATTAAAAATGTATAGTTTGTATGTTAGAAGTTCTTATTTTAATGACATCAGAATATTATTATAAAAATCATGCAAATAGCAGAGAAAGATAATTGTAAGTTATGATTAAAAGCAAACTTTCCAATGTGACAATAAATATGTCACCTATCTAAAGTCAAAATCATTTATAAAAGCAACAATGGAATGACAAGACATTGATGAAAGAATTCACCACTTTTGTTTAAAATAGCTGTTATATTCCAATAATTCAGCTATGAAGACAAACAAAAACCATATAAATACTAAAAATCAGAACAGCCAACAAGATGCTGTGGGCTCACACATAATAGCACTGTTATTTCAAAACAATTCAGTTAGAAAAGAAAATAATTCTACAAATACTGAAAATGAGAATAATTTTCTACAGAAGAAATACTTTTTTGCCCACAAAACCCAGGAAATAACATCAACTATTTTGGTATTAATAAATGTTGGTTTTGATTTTAAAATCCTAAAATAAAGAGTAAATTATTCTTCTATACAGTGTATAAGACAGGTTAGAACACATAATGGAGATAAATCCTATTCACAATAGCAATAAAAATATAAAATACCTAGAAAACAACAACATTGCAGGAATATATATAATACATGCTTAGATTTTTAAAAAGGTAAGTACGGGCATGAACACATATTCTTCAATTTTTATTGCACATATTTTGATACTTGTTCAATTATTTGTTATTAGTTGCTTGTTTGCTTATGTTAATGTATCACTGTTGAAACATTAGGGTTCCTTTGCTATTCAGTCTTATCCTCTTTTATTCCCATCTATCCTATCAAACTAAATTTTCCTCACATTCCAATAGGCCATTATTATGTGCTAATTTTGTATATATTTGATACACCTGTGTTCTATTTTATTGGTATATATTTAACTTTATGTTAGTTTTTGTATTTTTCATGGAGGAATATGGTTTTAAAACCAATCTCTATTACTATATGTATGTCTAATCTATTACTTTTAATTATTTCGGGATAGTTCATGATATGCACGCATTGTATTTGTCAAACCACTCTCTAATAACAAAAAGCTGTATTACCTCTGAATCCCTACACCATAAATAATGTTCAGTGAACATTCTTATAAATATCGCATTTGGAATACTGTAGGGATATATTTGAAATGTATCACTACCTCTATATTATTATACATTATGTCTACACTTAATTTGCTTGAATATTTCTAGATTGATTTACAGAATGACTGTCTTCTGGGCTCCCTCCTGACAGCAATGCATGAGAGTGCATATCACCAACACCTACCAGCAGATTTTTTGACTTTCTAACTTTTGCCAATGTAGTGGACATGGCTATATCATTCTTTTAAAAATTTCCATGTCCAAATATTAATTATTTCAAACAAATATATTCCTTTTATTACTTGTTTCCTTTTACAAATTGTCCATTTATATTATTTACCTGTTTTGCTCTTAACTCTCCCCTCTTTTATTGATTTGCAAAAATCTTTATATATTCTAGACATTATGAATATTCTCTTACATTTGTTTTCTTCCTATTTACTTTTTGATTTACTTCTTTAAATAAAATATCCTTTACTTTATTATATTTCACTGGAACGTTGCACATTATGTTTTGGTTTTGAAACTTTTAAGAAATCCTTACTACTGGGTGCTGTGGCTCATGCTTGTAATCCTGGCTACTCAGGTGGCTGAGGCAGTAGGATTGTTTGAAAAGAGGTGTTCAAGGCTGCAGTGAGCTGTAATCACCCCATTTCAGCCTTGGCAACAGAGCAAGAACACATCTCTTAAAAAAAATCCTTCCTCAATCTTCATGTATCAAGATACTCTATACTGTATACACTCCCAGATTGCCGTATGGCAAATGTCTGGGCAAGGAAACAGCCTTGCCAGCAGAAATGATTTCTATATTTTCTATATTTTACCAAAATGATTTCTATATTTTACCATTGTGGGAATGACAGCTGCTCATGCCACTTTTTAATCCATTTCATGCTTGAAAGAATAAGAATTTTAGGAGTACTAACTGTATATGGAAAGGAAAAGAATCTTTAACAAGAATAATTTATATTTTCATTGAAATATATTGACAATACTTGCATTCAACATAAATATTTTTACCAGACTCCAAGTTCCATTGAGAAGCTATAAAAAAATCTCAAGGCTTGAAAGATTATAAAATCATACAGGATTTTAATCTGCCAAAATTTATATTAAGAACCAATATCTAGGGGTACAAATACATATTTTTGCAGACATCTTATATAATGCTTTTGGAATGTTTGAGGTGGAAACATCTATCTTTTTTCTCTGGATGCCACCCAAATACAGAACACTATCCACCTCTATAATTCTTATGATTTAATTCTTCTGAATAAAAGACTCGGGAATCTATAATTCTTATAATTCTTCTGAATAAAAGTTTGTGCTAACTGAACTTTAATAATTCTTCTGAATAAAACATAATTCTTCTGAATAAAAGACTCTGGAATCAACCACTGCACCCCTGGTTATAAAAGAACTAGAAAAACTTCTATAACAAGGACAGGTTTATTTATGCTTGCCAGATGTGGGCAACTATTAATAAACATTAAAGTTACAAAAGATGTCGTAAAACTAAAATATTATTTTATATCCAAGGACAAACACTTTGTTATACACGACTTGAACTATTTGGATTTTCTCTGTATCAGGGGAAGCAGACCATTTTTAACATGACCCTGTAGTCTTCTAATATATTCCAGAGCAATTTCTGGATGAAATCACCATTCTTCTGAGTTGCATTTTTACTGTTTCAATTTTCCTAAAATTTGCTCCTTTCAGGTAAATGACCATCTAGCAGAACATTAATAACAAAGAATTTCACATGTCATTTTCTTCATTGACTTGCAAATGCAATCATTCATGTTCTCTTTTGAAGGTAAAGGAATACAGTACATCACATTACAGACTGAAATTCTCATCAGGCAGTTGTGTGAAGACCTACTTCTGTTTCCAGTTCTTTTATTGAAGAATCCCACTGAAAAGTACCATATTTTGAATGAAAGGTTAATCCTATCCTTCAACCAGCAAAGAAGAATCTATCTTTCTTGCTGGGGGGTAAGTAATAGATTTAAAGTCAATTGAAGAAAAAGGAGAAAATCTGAATCCACAAGTCAAAGTATGAATAGTGGAATGACTTAAAACAGGAATATGCATGAATTGAAGACAATGGAGAAATGTAACATATCATGGTTGTAAAGATTTAGGCATATTAGCTTATCACTTTAATTTTCCTGAGAGGATTGCCTCTTAGGCAGGAAATGTCAAAGGTGGGTGGGTGGCTGGGTGTGTGTGTGTGTGTGTGTATTTTCTTCTAATTTGGGGAATATATTTCATCTGGTTTGATCATGTAAGTAAGTTCAAGCTTCTACCACTTGCTGCATGATATAGAAACAAGGCAATAAGGCAAGGCAAGTGATTTTATTCAGAGGGCCAGCAAACCAAGATGAGCTTCTGTTCCAAAGAACCATCTTCAGATAGCACAAACTTTAAGCTCATTTTTATTTTAAAGGAAAGCGGAAACAAGGGGATGGAGGTCAAGAGGTGACTGACAACCTCAGACACCTAGGCATCAGCAAGGGTCCCAGTAGGTTGTGAAAATTCTTTGTGGTTCGTCAGCTGACCTCTGTTCAGATGCACTAGCTCAGATCACAGTTTTCCTGTAAATCTTTATCAAAATACCATGATTTGTATATGTATTTCCTTATCTCCCTGTGAGTTAGTTTTGATAAAAAAAAAAAAAAAACTTTTATCGTTTTTTTGTTTCTTAAATTTGAACTACAACCTAAATTTCTCCTATAATTAGCTGGTCTACAAGCAAACTAAGCAGATGCTTTTAACCTAAAGGATATGACCACAGGAGGTAGGGAGTCACAGGAAAAATGGAGTTAGTCATGCTAAGATTCCTTCCACTGTTAGAATCATAACACATTGAAAAAAAATGAAATGAATCTAATGATAAAATTTCTGATCAAATTACTAATAACAACTGAAATTTAAAAAGAATTGGAGAATTGGACCAACATATCCTAATTGACTACACGACCCATAAAAATCTTTTTCATCAGGTAACAGAAAATTAGGAAAAAAAGAGAGAAGAGGATAAAAAGTCAAATGTCCAGGAAATGCGTGGACAAGCGATATCACTATCGGTTGTTTCTTTTTTTTAATTTTTAGATAAAATCCAACACTACTTCTCAATCAGTTAAGAACATTAATATATTTAATGAAATATGCCAAGCTAGAGAAAAATAAAAATGGTAACATCTCAAAGGTCTCTCCAACTTCAGCACTATGGAGAAAAAGAGAACATCTAATTGGAGAATGAAGACCCCAAAACCCCAAATCTGTTTCAATACAGATTTACCAAATGTTCTATTCTTCCTAGATGCTGCAGTGAAAAATGCCTCAAGATCCATATAAATGCATAAAAATAAGTATCATTGAAAAAAATCAGGACATTTATTATTTTATTCTGTGCTGTGAACTTTAGTTGCCGTTTGTTCAGGTTACTGTCTGCAAAGGTTTCCAATGTGTTACTTTGATATTTGAGAAGCACAATATGAGACTTAACTGCGATTTTCAGCAGAGACATTGTGAGATTTTTTTCTGTTAGTTCTGAATAATTATATTAAACTTACGGTTTCTTTGTGCTTCAGGAAATAATAATATCACTTTTAGTATTTCAAATAATAATTTTAAATTAAAAATCTTACCAAGGTTGAAATTTCTGAAGTTGGAATATACTGTTCCTTATGCTAATATGCTTTCTTGAAAGGTTAGAAACATTCAGAAGTGCCAGTAGTTGTTCAGGGCACAAAGATATCATAAATCTTTCTCATATTTATGTGTGTATGTGTATAGACACATACAGATACAGATAAATGTGTGTGTGTGTGTGTATACATTAATTTTTCAGTATATGAATCCTAGGAAAGATTTAAGGGTATAATATACATACTCTTAAAGTCTGATACACTCCAAATGAAATTTATGTTCTGGTGAAAGCTGAGCTCACTTTTCAGCTCAGCATTTCGCAAAGCTTTCTACTGTGCTAAAACTACAGAAAATGTTAACAAACAGCTAAAGAATAAACAACGCTACCTTACATTAAAGGTACAGATCAGCAAGGTAGAAATGATGCCTATCATTTAATGAATCTCTAGCTCCCAGTCCAGGCAGGGCCTCACAGTGTCACAGGCTGAGATAAGGTCACAAACTTCCAGAATCCCTTTTGTAATATTTGCATGTGCTTAGCTGAATGTGGCCTTAAGTAGAAAGAGCTCACATTAGCCAAATTCACAGGAGACTGACAAGAACAAATGAAAAATCATTAATGTAGAAATAAAAATGTAACGCTAAAGGAAAGTGTAACACTCATTTTCCTTATTTAAGACAGATATTCTCTGGAGAAAAATCCTCCTAAAAAGCTCAAAGAAGCTACAGTTGGGTGATGATAATAATTAGCACTTTTGATCAGAGGAGTCTGCATGCGATGGGCAGGACTGCCCCTAAGGACCAGGGCTGAAGACACCATACAAAATCTTTGCTCTCAAACTTTCACTTTTCTAAGGATACTCCCCTCACCATTCCTTTTCTGATCACACAATTGTTTCATTAACAGGGCACATTGTAAGAAATTGAGAGACGAAAATTAGGTTAATTAAAATCTTACATAATGTTTCAGTGGCTGAGGGAATAGAGTCGCTGACGAAAGCAGCACTGAAATGGCTGAAATGGATTGGAGGTCCACTTTTCCACTTCAGAAGCTTTCACATTCCCTCTCCATTCCATTTCATCCATACAGAATTCTGAAACTTTGCCAACAAAAATCAAAAACTCCTGGATTAAAGAGAAAGCAGTATCCTCTAGTGGTCAGTGACAGAATCTTATTTGCCCACTGTTTAAAACCAAAATGTCTTCTTTCATAAAACAGCTTAATAATATCATATTCCTATATCATTTTGAATGAGCTAGTTAATGCTTTAGTAAAAACAATTCTTAAATCTTACTGACATAGAAAAAGTTTTCCCACTCTTTTTCATGTTTTTCACAATCACCTTGCATTGTTTTATTTTGTTTGTTTTTCCTTACTCAGGACTCAAACAATCTCTGGACATTGTTGGAAACTGTGAAGAGAGAAAAAGAAAATATATAGACAAGTTCTAGAAAATTCTACCCAAAAGTGACACAACTTAATTCTGCCACATCTTACTGACCAACGTCACATCTTATGGACCTCAGGGTGGCAGGTTCATGTAATACTGATCCATAAAACAACAGTTATGTGATCCAACACATGACTCAATACTCACATTTCCTATAAACCTGAGAAGTGCTAAAGGAAACTATACTACTATCATTTTTCAATGTGCTTCAGAAAAACCATGGTGGCATGTATTGTTTTAAATCTATAGTAAAGGTGGACTTGGCGCTAGTGGCAAAGGGAGCTGTGGTTTGGATTCATCTTGGAACATCTCCCGGCAGCAGAATTTTGTTTATCTTTCAGTGTTGATTCCTCAAGGTGGAAATAGAAAAGGCACAGACCAAGCATTGTTAGAAGACATGGCAGTGCTTCCCATATATTTCATTGTTTTATTGAGTTTTATTTGGTGCCCCTGTTTTCCTTAAATATCAAGTATGTTTAACTTCTTACTGTTCTTGGAATAAAAACTGCACAATTTAACCAGAGGAGCAGCTTAGAGATTATTGAAAGCCGCACTCTCCGGGGCAGGCATGGCATTCAAATGTCTGTAGTTAAAAATGGCATGTTTCTTTTTTTCATCTTCATTTGTAATTTCTTGTAATGAGAATTAAATACTGAAAACAGATAACACCTCATGAACTTGTCAAAGTTTGGAAAAAGATACTGAAGTTCATATTTTGCTACATATTGCAATGTTTTTTAAAATATATATCTAAATAAAGAAATGCTTACTTATCCATCCAGAAACATTCAACATTTTTTCAAAAAATAGCTTTCACCTGGATTGGTATTTTAAAAATGTGACCCAGAGAGGCATGCCCCTTTATGAGCTGTGCAATATCAAGGGAAGAAAGAGGCACGAAACATGTTCCTAGGTGCCAGGACCTTGCCGCTGCTTTCAACAAAGGAACTAAACTAGTTTTATCTTTTTAATTTTATTTAGATTGCTTAGGTTTTCATTTAAATAAAGGCACCATGGCTGAAAACAACAGCAAATCAAAACAAAGACAAATTTTTAAAAATAATTGAATGCCACCAATCTATATGATGGAAAGAACTTTCAAAGAAGAACTATGTATACAGATTGTTCTCAAACTAGAATGCTTTAGATAATGTTCCATAGCAAGAATGCTATATAAACAGGACTGATAGAAGTATTTTTCTGATTATTGATTTTACAATATGCCATTGATTTATTTAGATAAAAGGTAAAGTCTTTTTAAAATTTATATTTATAAAATTAGAGACATAGCAAAAGTGTTGTTTGTTAAAATATTCATTAATTCTTTGGGGAACATTTGAAAACAAAGTGAATTTCCAAGTTAAGATCTCAATCTTTAATAATTAACAGGTTAATAAATTATTAACTGACATTACTAGGCACAGGTAATTTTCATGTAAAAAGAAAGTAGAAACAGTTTAAGAGGTCAATGTATCAACTTCTCCTGATTTAGAACTCTAAAAGTTTCGTTATTTAGGATGTTTTTGTATTTTTCATGTATATTTGCTTTACATTACCAAACCATTTATGGTAATTACCTTAATAAAGTTAATTTTAAAAATATTAGTTTTATATTATATGACCAATTTATATTTCTCATTATTTAAAAAGTTTGTAATTAATCCTATTCCTTCAGAGAACAGAGCCCCTGAAATGTGTTTTTACCTTTAAATACAAGATAACTTCTCTTTCAAAATCTCAAAAAGAGGAGTATTTAATGGAAACTTCTATCTTCCTTTCAGTTTAAAAAAATTATAAAAAATGTGTTCAAAATCAACTCCAAAATAATCTGTAAAGATTCTGTCAGTCTATCTGACAGAAATAGCAACAACATCCTGGGTTTAAGAAGGTAAGCCTACATTTTTAGTTTCTGCTTAGTATATGAAAAGCTAAAAAGAGCATTACTTCTATCACCAAGGGTGGGAGTAGGGGGAGAAACAAACAAATATACTGCAAAATTTAAAAAGCAGAGAGTCCTTAACATAAGACTATATCTCGATACTTTTAGTTCCTATGGAACAAAGTGCAGCACAACTTACTAAGAAAACAAACCAAGGCCTGGGATGCTGGCTCATGCGTATAATCCCAACATTTTTGGAGGTGGAGGCAGGTGGATCACTTGAACCCAGGAGTCTGACATCAGCCTGAGCAAAACAGTGAAACCCTATCTCTACAAAAATACAAAACTTAGCCGGGTATAGTAATGCATGCCTGTAGGCCCAGCTACTGGGGAGGCTGAGGTGGGAGCCTGGGAGTTCAGGGTTGTAGAAAACTGTGATCTGAAAACTGAAGTTCAGGGCACTTCAGCCTGGGCAACAGATTGAGACCTTGTTTCAAAAAAAAAAAAAAAAAAAGACAAAAGAAAGGAAGGAAAGGAAAGGGAAAGAGGAAAAGGAAGGGGAAAAAGGAGGAAAGAAGGCAGGCAGGCAAAACCAAACTTATTAGTATACTTTTGTAACAAACTGTTGGTTTTCAGCCAAACACAACAGCTAAACTTCAGGTAATCACAGGTAGCCAAGGATCAGATCACGCTCAAATAAAGCAAATGCTCATCACACCATACCCAGATAAGGACGACACCTAATTTTAGCCTATCAATTTCTCTTTCTTATTTCTTTGCTTGGCCTATAAAAGCTTGCTGCTCATGCTGCTGGGTGAAACTTTCCTAAGCTCCTCTGGTTCTGAATGCTTTTCAATTAATGAATCATTCTTGGTTCAAGCAAACTGTCAAATTTGTCTAAAGGTTTTCTTATTGCATTACAAAGATCATGTATTGACTTGAGCTTATTAGAGACCTAAAGTCACAGGGCAACCCATTAGTTTGAAATCTAAGGAAAGACAAAAGTCTTAAAGGAGAGACAGACAAGAGCTTCCCTGCAGCAGACTATAAGATGAAAAGAAGTCCAGCTTAAAAGAGGGTCTGGTGATTTTAGCTACAGTTTTAAGAACTTTGGAAAGGTCCAGTGACAAATTACTAGATGAGAGTGAGAAATCAGAAACCCTGAAAGTTGTGAAGGGAATTTGAACTTACTAAAAATTTCTTCTTCACTGGCCTCCATGGGGGTTCACGTGAGACATTGAGAGCAGGGCTGGATACCAAAGAAGCTTCCTAGAGTGTTGCAGGCATGTTAGAAAACAGTAGCTGCTCCTACAGAAGAGGCACGTACCTCTACGATGTCCTTTCCCCCTGTGGAATGGAAGCCTTTGTTACAAGAGAAAGAGAAGCAAAATCCATACACTTCCAGGGGAAGAGTAGCCACAAGAAACCATCATAAGCCCAGGGTGATAAAGATCCTTGACCAGGAGAAAGGATCTTGTAAAAGAGCTGAAAAATTCTTGTGATGCAAGACTTGTTAAAGATTCTAGAGAATTTTCTGTCTTGGGAAGAAAGACAAAGAACACTGAGAAACCAACTCTAGACAAAAGGTCTGCCTAAGAATGAGACTGAACCATAAAACAAAGAAACCCTGTAGAACTAAAAAGTATATATTAATCCAAGTATATCAATAATTAGAAGTATATATAATCTAAATATTGCAATTAAATACAGAGATTAACATTAAAACTTTTTTTTTCTTTTTTGAGATGGAGTTTCGCTCTTGTTACCCAGGCTGGAGTGCAATGGTGCGATCTTGGCTCACCGCAACCTCTCCTGGGTTCAGGCAATTCTCCTGCCTCAGCCTCCTGAGTAGCTGGGATTACAGGCATGTGCCACCATGCCCAGCTAATTTTTTTGTATTTTTAATAAAGATGGGGTTTCACCATGTTGACCAGAATGGCCTCAATCTGTTGACCTTGTGATCCACCCACCTCGGCCTCCCAAAGTGCTGGGATTACAGGCTTGAGCCACCGCACCCAGCAACACTTCCTTTTTTAACAAAATTTCTCTTGGCTAAATATTTAGAAGTGCAATTACCATGCCTTTTGGTATGTACCTATTCAACTTTGTAAGAAACTGCCAAATTATTTCCAAAGTAGCTGTATCATTTTTCATTCCTGCAGGCAATGAATGAGAGTTCAAATTGTTAGTTATGCTCATCAGTATTAGATATGGATATTTGTCGAAATTCACTCAGGGTGGTGGCAAAAATATTAAGGGTAAAGTATTAGAGAAAGTTATAAAATACAGCCTCAAACTATTTTGAAAGGCCTAAAAGTTTTTTATGTATTTCTTAGCTGAAAGAAACCTAAATCCCCTTTACGTTTAGTTAATAAGTAAAGAAAATGGCTAAAGTATGTGGGGGAGTTTACCTAACTTACTTATATACTCATGTTAGTCTTAAAACTAACTTGTAAGTCAGACAACCCTCTCGGGGAGGTTAACCGAAGAAACTATCCTCTAAAAGTATTTGATTTAAGCATCAGAACATGTGCTTTAATCTTCAGCCTCTAGTGGTGTTGACTGAAGCCTTTGTCAATTAAACTTTGCTAAATAAATGCAAGTCTCTCTAGCTAGTAAAGGACAGCAGTTGCGGCAGTTTACAACACTCTCCAAAGAGTCTGCAAGCAGCCCAGTCCCTCAGCTGAACTAGCAAAGCGTAGTATCTGTGTGTCAGTGTACTTTATTCATCTGTCACTAATCTAAATATTACAATTAAATAGTCTGCAAGACAGACCCTTGCAGGTGGTGACTCTGACAGTGGCACCCAACATGTGGCAACCCTGAGAGATACTTACATTTGGTTTTTTGTAGTCATTCTAGTGTAACAAAATTGACCTTTTCTCGTGTATATCATTGAATAGTAAAGTCAGAGAAATTTTTTCTTAAAGGGTCAAACTGGAAATAAAAAACTGGCTTCCTGACCATGCATTGTATCTCTAACCTACTCAACTCTGCCATTGTTGCTCAAAAACAGCAAGAGGCAATATATAAACAACTGGATGTGGGTGTGATCCAATAAATGTTCACGTACAAAAGCAGACAGCTGGCCACATAGTACCTGCAGTCTTTCACACACTAAATGTAGAACATACTTGTATGTCTTTCTAAGCAATCCATATACTTTGTGAAAGAGCTATTAAAACTTTTGAGCATGTTTAATTGAATTTTTGCTCAATAATAGTTTTATTAATACTCGTTTCTCACTTTTATAATATTACTTGAGTTTAGATAGATGATATAAATAGGTAGATATATTGATAGATAATAATTTAAATGTATTTTCCAAAGCTGATAGATAATAATTTAAATGCATTTTCCAAAGTTGAAGCTTATATATTTTTTTCTTACTGGTATTCTTGAAAAGCAGATGTAAATTTTTAAAGAAATATTACCAATTTTTAGTTTTGTCAGTCTGTCACTAGTTAAATATCTTATTCTATACTAAAGTCACAATAATTTTTCCTAAGATAATTTTCATATATTTTCAACATTCAAGTAAGACATACCAAATGTCCATCAAACATCTTAGGTTGTTGCCCAGGAACAAGAAAGTTTAATTTTAATCATGCAGTCATGCTCAAAATAAATGTCATACTTTAATAATGAAGTTTAAAGCCATTTTACCTCACTTACTTTTTTTATTTTTCCACTGCCATTTCCCCATCAAGTACTCATTGTCTCAAGGGAAGTGTGGATTTAACATAAAATAAATAATTTAATCAATTGGTGACTTTTAAGTCATGGCAAATGCAAAAATAAATGATCAAATACATTTTAATGGATGTAAAAAATTATTTTGAATAACTATTTTAAGCTTAATTTTAAATTACACAAAGTTATAAAGACAGTGGAAAACCACATAATTATTAGTTCTCTATTGTTAATAGCTTACATTAAAATGGTACATTTATCAAAACGAGGACACTGCCATTAACTATTATTAACTAAACTCTAAACATTATTTAAATTCCTTTTTTTTCTAGTTAACATTCTCTGTTTCAGAAATTTGTTACATGTACTCAGTCTCTTCTGAATTGTGGCAGTTTCTCAATCACTGAGCAAGTGACTGTGGGGTGCGGCCAGGGACCCACCTGCTGTGGCCGGGCAGACAGCTCTGGGCTCCAGCAACGCCCACTCCTTGCGAGGCTGCCGCCGAACCAGGCACCACACGCCTTCCGCTGCCAGCACCAGGGTCTGCCTAAGGCCTGCGCCAGCTGCTCACTCCCACCTTCGCATACACGCTCAACGCTGCTGGGGTTAGCCCTGCAAACCTGATCCTGCGGCTGCTCTTTGGATGAGCCATTGTTTCCTCAAATACACTGAGTATTTCCTCAAATACACCATTAATTCATTGTGTCTACGGTTCCGCTTTTAACAAATTTAAAATATGTGAAGAGAATAGAGCCCATGTTAAGAGTTCTTTCACCACGTGCTCACAAAAATAACAGAAGGAAGTTTTTAGACGTGATAGACACATCAAGCACCTTTATTGCGGTGCTGGTATCATAAGCGCGTACATATGTTCAAATACGTGAAAATACGGCCAGCTGCGCCAGCTGAGGAAGGAGAGTTGCTTGAACCTGGGAAGGCAAAGCTTGCAGTGAGCTGAGATCAAGTCACTGCACTCCAAC